GCATGCAACGAGCTGACGTGAGTGGTTGTAGTACTGTGCAATATGAAATCTGTGTAAAAAAGATCTGCTTGTGACAACTTGCTTACTGTATTAATACACTAAATGGAACTCAATGACTGCCAAATTTGAATCTGATACAGTACTGTACATTGCTTTTCTGTATATTTGCTGCTGAATTGTGTGACTCCTAAGAATAAATAAGAAATAAAAAACAACTATTATCTGTTACTATTATATTGATTCCAAAACTCAAGTCATAACTTTAATTAATTTAATATTGAATCATTAACAGACTAATTAATTAAATTTTATTCATCATAAATCCGAAGTTAACTTTGTTAGAAGGCTTACATATTTTTTTTTCAAAGCTACAGTAACTAATCTAGCCCACCCACAAGCATTGTTCCTTTCCTTAGTTTGTGTTATTGCTTGGACAGCCATGTCTGATTGCACTGGCAGGAGCGCAGGCTCGAGGCAGGGTGTTTTAGCAAGGGTTAGGCCTAGGCTACTTAGTAACTGATTTGGGGTACATATTATAATAGCAGTGGAAATAGCATCATTAAATTTTTTTTTATAGAAATAATTGCAATAAATTTTGGGCAGATTTAAGTTGCACTCCAGAAATAATGTATAATGACAATAGGGCCTACTAAATATGGTATTAAAGTAGTTACATGTAAAGGTTATGAATTAGTTATAACCCATTATTTACTCTCAGTCTTCTTGTGTGTTAAAACGATAAAGATTCAACATGGTATAACAACCGTGTTTCATCTATAACTAAACGTGAGCATGTGCACTATGCTTTAGTGAATAAAAATCACAAAATATATGCCACGCGTTGTCCAGAAACTTAATTTTTGTACCTACTACTGTACAGTAGGTTTATGTTGTAATCATAATGCATACTGTACCACCAGCAAATAAATCTGCATAAAGCATTCATATTATATACTGTAAACAAGACTAATTTTCCCATTTGATAGTTAGATAGAGAGAGCAACATTGGTCCTGAAGCTGAACTGGTGGTAGCCACTGGTGTGTGCTGAAAGGTGGAGATCTTCACAAACTTGTTCCATGGTTCAATTCTGTTTCCTGTTGTGTTTCTACTGGTGGGTTGAAATGCAAGTTTGAATAGAATACTGTCTTTCCGATGAGACATTCAGACTGATTGTTGTTTGTGCAATATGGCGTGTGTTAAAGAACATAGTACACTTTGAACAAAAATAAGGGATTTTCCCGGTCACAGATGGATCCCACTGGAAGTGTTCAGACTTTCATGGGATGTGCTTGGTGTTCTCAGGGGATAAATCCAACATGTCCAGTCCAGGCCTGCTTTCATTGATTGGTTGATACAGTTTGTCCCCTATTTTATACCAAAAAAAGTTCATTTTATGTAAGGAAATAAATACTGTATATATTGTGAGGATGTGAGCTGGTCACATTGCAACATCACATTTTTTACAACCACACAATAGGATCTCGAGCAAGGGTACTCCTATATCTCACATACTCGCATTTTTATATTTAATAACAGTAAATGTTTTTTTAAAAAAAAAACCTAATCTCCTAGCGGTAAAACCGTTAGGAGAGAATAAAAATTCTTGCTTAAAAAATTGTAACCAACAATTTTAACTTGTAGTTTTTAAAGTGTCAGTTTATGGAGTTTAAAAGAACCTCAACCATAATTTTAGACCAGACAAATATTTTCTAAAAAAGATAATTTCACTTGGTTAAGTTTTTCTAAGAACAGGCACATTGCAATGCAATAGACTATAGTTACTGTAGCATTAAATTGATTTAAAATTTGTCTTTATTTCATCAACACAATTAGAACTTTAATTTACTTTTGTTATTTGCTGGTAGATATTTCATACAGGGATTTGTTCTCATTATTGTCTGCTGCCAAACATTGTACATGGTAGATAATTATGAATTTATTATTTATTCAAATTTCAATTGTAATGTTAGCTTGCATGCCAGGTGGATGAGATCTGAGAGAGCTTTGTTCTTATTATCGTACAGTATATCAAGATGTTTCAAATTTGATATTCAGATTGTCATTTTCAAGATAAAAACTAAGTTGATTTTAGATGTTGAATATATTCTTTTAGTTTACATGGTAAGTAAACAATTAATAATTATCTACCTGTACTACAGTATACCTTTAGAAAAAAAACTAGGGCTAGGGTATTCTACATACATTTATAAGTTGATAGCCAGTGCCATTCTATTGGAAATGTTTGTGAGCCTTGGATGGCCTGTAACCAGTTTGAGAAATGGGGTGGATCAGTATAAAAACTGAACAGAACTTACCTTGTGTATGGGTGAAGGACGTGGTCCAACCACCTAAGTGGTCTAGGAAAAAATTGTGTTTATAAATGTACGGAATTTTGCATATTCCAACATTTTCAGGGAGCATTTTATAATAAGCAACAAAACTAAAACTATCAATTATTCAAGCATTACTAGGGCAGATACAGACTGTGCGATTGCACCCCCCTAAATTATATTAAGAAAAATAATTGTTATACTGTATAGTTGATAGAGTATGAATTACTGGTAAGACTTTTAAGGTATGAGAGTGCAATTTCCAGGCAACTGGAGGTTCATATTCTTACAATTTTCAAAACCTCAACCCCAACCATGGTGGGCTGAGGTGGTACAGACTTTCACATACCCCCTACCGCTAATCCTGCATCCGCCCCAGCATCACACACTGAAATTATTAATAAAACCTCAAGCGGTGCCAGAAATTTTCAGAAGAGGGTTCCAAAAAGTTCCCAACAGGTAGTTCACATGCACCTCAGCTCCATGTTTGGGGTGAGGTGAGCACATTTTGCAGAGGTCCCAAGTCTACCGCTACTTGTGGTAGTCTACCGCTTTTAGCAGCAATCTACCGTGCTACCGTATGCCTACCTTTTTCTACTGCATAGAAAAGATTCTCCCATAAATTTTTTAAAATTTAATTATTTAATTTTGAATATTAGCTCTAGCCTAGGCCTAGGTAAAAACATGACTCAGGATGTTAAAAAACAATCATAAACAATCACAAATAAGTTTATTCCACACCCTACCATCACTGTTTATAATGCATTTGCAATTAATTACAGTAGCTGCTGCAAAAATGGAATCAATGTTGATGCGCCCATACTTGCGACGCCCGGCCTGACCATGCCTGCAGTGTGATTTAATAACACCCTTTGACCCGTACAACAGGCCTACTGCCAACCTTTTGCATAAAATTAATTTTATCCAGCTGCTTCATGAAAATAATCACACAATTATTAATTGATAGTCGAAAATAAATTTTTAACTAACAGATGCCAGAAAAGAAGTGTTAAATTGATTTAATTAATATTGATGTAGGCCTAAGTGTAAATTAATGAATAATGTATTGAATATTAGACTAGGCCTACTGTACATAAATTCTGGAATCTACTTTAATTTCATGGTATTAATTTACATTGTGTAAATTAAAATGAAAGCAAGAGCTAGCAATTTAACTGTTTGTTTGATCATTGAATGTCAAGTATTTGATGATATGAGTAGTTGGGTATTGGCTGCAACGCTACGCACGTTGTATTTGCAGGCGTCCAAAGGTTCCCGACAAAATCTCCTGCGAATGGAGTTCTTCAACTTGGGACCCCTGCATTTTAACAGTTGGCACCTGTAGATGCTCGGAAAAGGCACTCTCATACAGTACCCTTCCTACTGAATAGATGTTGCTTTGTATACTTTAAATGCATCACCCTCTCCCAGCATTACCTCTTTACCCCCTGCCCTAGGCTGACAATAGATTATTATTAGCTCAGGGTTTAGACAAACACATTTTGAAAATAGAAAGGATGTATGACACATTGAAATTATGGTACAGACATGGACTTGTTATTGTGTTTGGACATTGGTATTATGCAGAGGAAATTCCTCCTTGGTACACTACTTGTCATGGGACGTTGTGGTCTCTATTGATAATAATCATATTCATATTTTTAGAAAAATATTTAAAAATACAAAAATGCATCATTATGCAATTTATAAGCAAGTGTCATACTACTGAGGGTTTCCCAAGATTAATTATCATCCTATAATGGCAAGCATTAACAGTACTGTATGGTTACACCTTCCAACAATAAAACACCTTGTGACCACTCACTATACTGTAGTCATGGGAAGTGGTTATGACTTTGACATCACTTCTAAGTTTAAATGACTATTAGAGGTAAACCTACATTCACTGTGTCTGTTGAGCAATGTAGGCCCATAGTCAGTACTGTAATATTCTCTTGCCAAAAAATGAATATAGTACAGTACTGGTTTTATTAAAGTAAATATTGAGTATTTTAATTATAATTTCAAAAAGCTGGTTATCAGCTTTGTCAGTCTGTGATCAAGGTTTAATGCTATTTGTTATTTGTTTACTTTCTTATTCTACAGTATACCATAAACAAGATAACAACTGATATACAGTGCCTATGCCCTTTGGACCAGTGCACTGGAATTGGGGGGAAATTTGTAGTAAACAATCAAAGTTGCTGAATATCACTGTGATGTGAATGATTGTGCAGCTGATAATACATTTGTGTATCAGTTATATCAACCACACTGTACCAGTGATTCGCCATGTCAAAACCAGCATTAGTGACCAAAACCACAAAATTGACTTTTTTTTCTTTTCATATTTTTCAAATTAAAAGCTTTTAAATGACCATTTACTGGAATCGACTTACTATAGAGTACTACAGTCGTGTCGTTACAACACCAGGTGGCGCCCTCTGGACGTTGGCTACCATTCATTATGCATGAATGACTTCATAATCTTAATGGTTTAGAATAGGCTTTCTGGAATAGGCATTTTAAAACCTAATAATTTACCATTAAAATGTACTAAAAACACAAAAAGCTTTATATTAGTTATCGAACTAACTATTTAATTATCAACTAACATTTACAAAGAGAAATTAAGATACAACTTCTTAATGGTTTCTTTTTTTTTCCAGCATCAATTTCTAGAATTATCTGTGGTATGAAAAACGTATGAAGATGTCAGGCTTGATTTCACCAGTCTACGTATTAACTGTTGTCTGCTATGTAGCTCTTCAGCCAATCGCTGTCTCAGCTGAAATAATTCTTGTAAGTACAGTAAAATGGAAGAATGAACGCATCAATGATCAGCTTTTTTTTATTTCATGTATAAGTACATAAAAGTGTTTTCAAAGCATGAAAAAAACTGGGATTTTCATATTGAAGAGGAAAAATGACAAGGATGCATGCTCTATTTCATTTCAATTCAATTTCTTTCATTGGTGCAAGTGCCGTCTTGGGCCAATATCAACACAAACACAATGAAACATCAAAACACAATCTTCCTATTTTATAATATAAGGATTAACAATGCTAGCCGATACTAGTGACAAATATACCAGAAAAAGAAATGAGAGGTAAACCGCAATATATACATAGTTTTATGTTTCATGACAATACTTAAATTCAGTGTTGCACTTTTTGCATTGCTCATTAGGGGAACCCTGTGCTTACCAAGCATACTTTGATTACAATAAAATCAATGGATAAGTAGGCCTTTTCCTGATTCGACTTGTGTGGGCTGAATATTTAGATTTCACAAACATTTATATCCTCCTACAGGTATTATCATTGTTGTAGACAGTATACTGTTATACAGTATTTATAAATAGACTATTACAGTAAATATATTTTTGTATGTATGACATGTGCAAAAACACAAGGAAGACAGCAAATGGTGATTAATTGTTTCCTCAGTGATCTCAAAATATCAGAGCATGTACAGAACAAAAGAAATACATTGTTAGGTGGTGGTGGTTTCTTTACAAGGTATTGGTCAACATGCTCAACTAGGTTTATATGAAATTAGTTTCCAGATACTTCGACAGATTTTCTTCAACAACACATAAATCAAGACATATTGCAATACAAGCGATGGAACTTAAACTAAGTCTGTACTTAAAGGGCTAACTAAAACTATAAACACTCTAAGGCAAAAAATGGCAAGGCATATTTTAGGATAAATATACAATATACTGTACTCATTGATTTTGGAGAGCCACTAGACAGTGATTCAGTTCACATTTTGGCAATTCCGTCCGGCCAACTGAGTGTTGTTTTTTGCTCTCTGTTATCTTGTGTTTGTCGATTTTAATGTTTTTTGGACGAAATAAATGAAATGGGAAAAAAAGACAAGATACATATTGCAATTCAGAGGTTGAAATGCCCAAAATGTATGTTGCCTGTTAAATGCTTTATTATACTATTGAGTAGTTTATCAGATTTATAGTGACTTCATGTACTATACAGGGCAGTAATCTGTTGTTAATAATTCATTCATCATAACATTATTTTCATTAAATGGAAGCATCACCAAAAAAACAGCATGATTATGCCAGGGATGCCATTGACAAATAATAATTCAAATAAAACAGTATAAAGTTACATAAATAAAAATTTAAAATACAAACAAAACAAAAGGTGCCTACCATATTGATTTGTAATTTATCACAAAATCATAGCTTTAAGTATTTCTTGAAAGTAAATAATATTAAACATATTTCGTAAAAAAGTTACATGTTTTGTATTTTGAAATGAGTCGGGCAAATCGTTCTCCTGCTTAAATTGAGTATGTGCTAATCTCTTCAATGAACTCCATCCAGATGGTGGTAGTCTCTCTGTTCAATGCTGGAAATGTAATTACAAAAATGTTCGTTTAGGTCATACTGTAGTACCTATACTGGGATTAGTTCCTTAGGGTTTACCTCCTTTAAGGATCTGTTCAAGCACAAAAATTACTTGTGCTTAATTCAGTACACACATTTTTCCAAAAATGCTTTAACAGTTGCTTGTATACCATCTGGATTATCAGCAACAATTTTGACTTCGAAATTTACTGAAGAAAATTCTGGAATGAAAATAAGCTCTTGATGAAGTGATAATTTATTTATATTTGTTAGTTGATTTATTAGATGCTTTGTTAAGCCCAAGCAATTGAAATGGGTAAGTACGGTAGTATAATGAACAATCCATCGTTCCTCCGTAGATTAAAACCGCACTCAACAAATATACTACAGTATCTGTTAGGCTTTGGGGAAGACAAACAGATCTTAACGACAAATACAGCTACTTGTGTAGGGCCTATATACACCATGGATTTATTGTTTATGTAATAGGATTTATATAGTGCATGATACTGATGTGTGCGCTGAGGGAACCGCAAAGAAAAAAAAGAGAAATACTAAACCATGGATCTATCCTTGGAACAAAAAACCAAAACACAATGCAATCAGAGAAACCAGGATCACCACACCATTCTCCTGCAATTGAAGTACCACTGGCAGGCAGTACCGTAGTTGGCAGGCTCAGAATTTACAGGTGCACAAAAGAAACTGGCATCTTACCCACCTAAAAAACAAAATAAAAGTAGTACGGTAGTTTCGTAATACGGTATTTGAGGAGTACCTGAATTGTTCGAACTGCTTGCCACTTGCTAAGTTTTCTGTTGGATTTTATGGAGAAATATATGGAGCGCTTCTGCTATAGTGTGCTTGAATACGCTTTAGCTTTATAGCATGGAAAACTGAGATTTAATTTAAAATTGTTGTTATAAATTGTTTTTGAACTCATTTACAATAACATTAATTTTTGTTTAATACAGTAATTCAGGAGTGACACCATTGATTTTGTATGCACTCCCTACGACAAAAAGACAGAAATGCTGAGAATGCCCCATGTCAAATCTCACTTTTTAATCTGAATTTCACTTTAATTTCAGGTTTTTATTGAACATTTGTTGTTTTTTTGGTAACACATTAACATTTTTATTGACATTATTTTGCAATATTTATCAACAAAAGATTGAATAAAACCATACCTGAATGTAAATATCTGTTCATTAAGGAGATATTTGAGCATTGACTTTGTTCAGTCGTATGCAATCTTTGTGGCATTGATCACTGATAATCACAGGAATTCCACGATTTTACCAATACACTCTTAAAATTTAAATGTAGATTTTGATCTCAATAATATTATCAGCTTAATAAAAAGTCAACATTATGACTGATAAATTGATATAATGATATACTGTACATACTAACTATGTATTTATTTAAAAATTGCATGAATAATTTGAAAACTTTCAAGGAACCAACCAATAACAACCTAACAGTAGTAGTAAAGATAAATTTGTCAAATTAATTATCAAAATAAAGGATTAAAAATAACAATTTTTGATCAAATTACAGAAGTCATTATGATAGGGTGGTACCAGGTTTTCCCTGACAGGTAGTCAGTAGTGCCCCGACAGATGGGTCAGAGTGCACACCCACCTCAGTCTCACTATTTTGGTTTTCCCTGACTGATATCGCCGCGACTCCGCAACAGCTGGGCCAGGTTTCCCGGCAACCCACTGATGACATTTCTGTGGGGTAGGCCACCCATCCAATGCAGTGCTTCAAGCTGGCCCCAAAAATACAAACTTTTACAGTTCAATAATTGATGGACTCGCCTGCTTTATAATTTCTAATTCATATTAATCATTGACTCCATGAAAACAATGGCATATTAGTTGTAGGTTGGCATTCATTAAATAATTAATGGTTAATGTCAGTTCAGTTCTCCTTGTCCACTTGTTGAATTATAAACAGTTTTCTCCTTTTGAATTTTAGTCTATGAATAACGACAGTAGGACCGTACAGCTTTTATCATATCCTTCAACATTTGGTGCTAAACTACCCCAAAACGGACTGAAGGTGAGTCTGTATCTTTTACTTTTGTTGTTAATCTGGTCTTTAGTTGATCTTTATTTTTTGTGTGTTAAAAACTATTAGATTTATGAAAACAATTCCTAGGCAATCATCAGTAGGGCCTGATTAGGGAAGTGAATGCCCTTGTTCATGAGTGAGTTCCTGGATCCCTCTGACAAACTGATTACCTCTGGGGTCCCTGCCTAGGATCACAGATTTTGTTTGTTTCACCACTTATAAGAATTAACTATGGACTATAAAATGCTGCATACAGTATTTCAAACTATTTTTCCAACAGTGCAACTACTGTGCCATCAATGTGTTACACTGTAGTCAGGGAAGGCAGTGCGTTTTCAGAAGAGGATAGCCTGTACTCTAAGTAACAAATGTCACAAAAGCCTTTGTTGCTAGACTGTCCCATATTGTCTAATATTTGTCTTTTATTTAAAGTCACACAACTTTCAAAATAGTTTACTGAGTCCTCAGCTTTGGAAAATCTCCCTGATTCAATTATAAACTCACCATCAAGATAATTATTTCTTGTAGACTAAAACTAATCATTTGCCATTATATTAAAATTTGTTTAATAAGTTAACTATTTCTATGGCTTCTTCCTAAATAAATTAATCAACCTGAATAATACCCTTCTGTTAGTTTACTTTGTAAGTAGTATTAAGAACCAGTTGGCAGATCAAGGGGACAGCGAAAAGGACGCTTGCCTGTCAGGCAGCAGCCCAAAAAATATTATCCATATGTGATATCATTTAGTCAACAAATTAAAATGGATAAAACTCCAAAGCTTTTAAGGGGCATATTCTCTGGACCCACACAATAGGTAAGAGAATATATGTAAAATCCAAAAGCTAAAGCCAAGAGAAATGGCTAATAGTTGATGGAATAGTCTTTTGAAAGAGAAACAATATTTTGCAATCATTTGATATTGAAGCTTGTACTGTATTTAAATTGATTGAATTGAGCACTACTTAAATATACCAACATCCTGTATTAATGATTGAAAGGAGGAAGTATCTGCTTTGATATACTGGTACGGTAAAGCTATCCATGATGTGTGGGTATATCACGGAAATAGACTGAGCTTTGACTCTCTACTTTAAAAAGAACTCTAATACACCTAAAATAGTATGCACAGTTCTAGATGTATCTCATTGTAATGTTGGCAATAAATACTTCCTTTTCCAACTTGATTCTATCATATAAAATGTTAAAAGGGTATTTTATAGCTATATAGCTCTGTTATCAGTACAGTCAATTCAATTCAATTCAAAAGTACATTATAATACCAAATTATACAAATGAATAAAATCAAATACATTGTAGGTATAGTAACTAAAGCTTGTTTCTGTAATCTCTCTTTAGTAAAATACTTTGAGTAAAATAGAAACATTCATAAACACAGATCTCCAATTAATATTGAGGCAAAAATAAGTAAATTGTCAACATTAAAAATTATTTAAAAAAAATTAATTTATTCCGTATAAAACACTCTAAATGCAATAAAAGTTGAAAATTTCTTGAGTTTACATAAAAATAAGCCTACAAACAGAAAACAGACACGAATCAAGCAAAAAAACAATACAACCAAAAGTATAATCCTGTATCATTCTGCTGTGACCTTTACAGTAGGCCTACTGCGAATCCGCTCTACAAAATTGGGAAATGAGATATATAAAATAAAATTTAATTGTGAGACTTTCAGAATCAGAATCTAAGCCCGATCTAAAAGTAATTTTGTACTGAAGTCCTAAACAGAACATGAAAAGTGTTCCGGAAATTAAATTAAATTAAATTCAAATTAAATAAGCACATTTGATCTTGTTGTAAATATATCGTGCGGATGCTTAAAAGCTGGGCACTCACCCCGCCCGACAGTCGCCGGCCGATGCGATTCTATGGAGAACGCAGCTGCACTACGTGCGTGCAACAGATCGTTTTTAATGACGATCCGTTCCAAAAATTGGCAGACGTCGTCAGGTCGTCTAGCGCTCACGGGTAGCGGGGTTAGATTCGTCGTACAGTGCAGTGAGAGCACGGCTTTAGATCTCAAGCAAATATTTTGTTATTTACTTCGGTGCGAATGTTATCTAATCTGTGATGTATTTTTATTATTACAGGGAGTGATAGTGAACGTGGAACCAATTGATGCGTGTACGGAAGTTAAACCAATCCCAAACAACAATCAAACAACCTTACCCTACATTGCATTAATCAGGCGTAATGGTTGCGATTTTGATGTCAAGGTAAGCTGGTGAAAGAAGTGTTTACTGTTTCACTCTTCTAATGAAATGGGTAATGACAAGTACTCCTGATGGAAAGGGTTAAGGAACACTACTTACTGATGATGAAATATGTTAAGAAGTGACAACACGAAAGATCCCCTGGCAAGGGCTTCACGGTCCCCACCATGGATGAGGAAATTTTAAGAATGGGATATCTAGACGCCTGGAAGAAGCCTTTCAGGTCGTAAATATATTTTTCTAAAGCAGTGTTCCCTGATGAAATATTTTACTTCTCTGAAGGGTGGGTGGAGTTTCAGGGCTCTCTGACATGGGTCCTGTGCCCCTGTGGATTTCCCGCAAGTGCTGCCAATGTTGTCGTATATATCAACTGATGGAGTGCAATTCCCATCCTTATAGAAAATGTCAAAGTACCGTAGACTTTCTACTGATCACTGATAATGGAATGGGATCAAGGCAAATTTGCCTTCTTGGTGGAGTGGTTATTAGGAAATTCCCCTACTGATAGTACTTGCACACTCCATCATATGAGTCTAGTGTTTGGCACTTTTTGCTTGATTCCTCTTAAGTTTTTGTGATTGTAAACTTTTCTTTAATAGTTTAAAACATTTGGCATCTACTGTAGTGTTTCCCACTTTTGAAACCTACATAAATAATATTTGCAGTTGATTATCATTTACTGATTTTTTAAAATAATATTATGCATGATGAAAATAAGATTAATTAAAAATTGATAACTAATTCACAATGGGACATTTTGCGCAGGTATTGAATGCTCAAACAAAGCACTATATAGCTGCTATTGTTTACAACGTTGATTCAAACGCTGTCCTGCCAATGAGCGCTGGTAAACGTGAGTAAATTTTTATTTGATTGTTCTTTTTTTCATGGAGCTTGCATGTTGCATCTACAGCCTCCTTTTTCAAGTCAAATTTCATTACCCTCATCTCATTCTCATTTAAAAAAGTTTTTAAGGTTTACAGTATACATCTAATAATAACAGTTTATTTTCTGTTCTGTCCATTTAAAAAGAATCTATAAACGTCCCCAACAGTGGTCCACACCACATTAGCCCAACTATGGTTAGACCAAACTTTTAGAGTGGATGCCTGGAAATGCCACTCGGACAAAATGATGCCACCACTGATGGGGCCAGGGTTCCCTGAGGAGCCTTCTATCCCGCTGCCACCACCATCAGTGCTTTACACATTTGATATTGATTCTGAGAAAACTGAAACAAAGCAAAGCAAAACAATCACTCTGTTAATTCTAGTTGGTTTAGATCTTGCCCTAAATGATTAACTGTATACATTACCCTTTGCCACCCTAACTTTATGTGTTATGTATAGATTCTCGGCCAACATACATAGAGAGTTGCTATGTTTATACGAAAAGTTATTATTGTGAGGTGTTTTTTCCCTATGACAAACCTACAATGTTAAACAATAGATTTATCTGGCAAACTTGAATTTATAGCCAAACTATTATAATTTTTTTCAATGGCTTGCATCCAAGGTAAAACATGCTTCATAAATGTTTATATCCCAGTGCCTTTAATATAGTGCATTATCATAATATATAGTGTGTTGTAACATACACTGCATTCTCACAGTTATTACTATACAGTACAAATCAAGAACATTATTTCATGTATTTTCATGTAACTACAGAACTTGCACTTTACTCTTACTGACAACAGTATGCTTGGGTTATCAATTACAGTAAAACATCCATCTTACTTATCCCTTGGTACCAAGGGGTATTCGTAAATTGAAAAATTTGTAAACTAGATCGGTTGTCAGTTTCCAATACCTAGGCCTAGCTATCCCTGCCATTGAGCACTGATAAACTGATGGCGGCCAGGCCTAGCACGAACCGACAGTGCAGCAGTGTGGTCTACCGCGCTAGAGCCCAGCTGAATTCACCTTCGATAAAAACCAAATTATTTTAATCGTTGGCATTGTTCCACTTCACAAAATGTTATTTTGGTGAGTGGTTAGCAGGGGCGCCGCAAGCTATAGCCATAATATAGGCGCTTGTTTCGAACGGCACACTCGCCTATGGTTCTGGTGGTAGAACAAGTCTTCTCGGATAAGGACTATAAATTGTAGGCCCAGTGTATACAATGGCTCGTGTGCACTATAAAGAAACCAATACATCCTTCAAGACAAGTAGGGAGATACCCCGGTGTACTGGAGCATACAGCCCCTGTGGTGGACGACGAGAGTTGCTGGTACCGGTTTACCGGGTAGCACAGACACGAAGGGACCCTTAGGGGCGAAGAATGTCATTGATCGAGTTCCTAGTCCACATATCAAGCGCCCTGAGAATCTTACATTAGATGGACATGTGCGCTATATAAAAGTACACTATTATTATTATTATTTATCATTATTATTTTAACTCTTATTCAAACATCTGTATGTTTTATGGACCTTTCTATCGTGTTCTTTCTAGTTGTTAGATCGCCGAATTGTGGTGAAACATGCGTTTCGTGACCATATCTAGTATTCACGATGTCAATAATTTGCTGACCCCAGCACTCTCATTCGTAATATCTTACTCAGTGCACTCAGTCCGACGACACTTGCATTGATAGTTCGTTCTGGTTAGGTTTATTACATTAATATAGTGATTATTATACCAGAAATGGAAAAAAATATGGAACTACAGTATTAATAAATAAATACAACAAACTTTATTTTATTAAGAAAAATGTACATACGGTAAGCACTTAAAACGTGCGCAATTGGACTTTTTATGGTAATAATTGGTCGACGATGACTTTATCGGGGCAAAGACCATCCTTAAAATAGACTATTCCTAATATCGACATTCGTAAAATGGACGTTTTACTGTAATACCTTAGAATGACAAACTATGAAATCAATTTCTTATTTTACCCTTATTACAACAATTGTCACCCTTTAATCATTTACTTTAACAATGATTATTGGATTGGATGTGAAAGTGAAACAGAATGTGCATATATAATTGGGCAACGAAATTACTTACAATGAATATGATTATTATCTATCATAAAAATATGTTTACACTTTCATTTTCAATTTTACATACAGATACTGTATTAAATTATATAAACATATTACAAGTGCATTCAAATGCATATAAAGTATCATTATATAATAATAATAAAGCAATGTAAAAAAACTATATAAAAAGTGTATTAACACTTATAATTTCATTCATGTTTTATTTAAAAAATTGTACAATTATTTAATAAAGTAAAATTATTCACTAGCAATTAAATTAACAGTTTAAATTCTCTATAAGCTCTTATCTGTGTTACATTAAACCTTATTATTATTAACAAATTCAAGAAAATTATTTGAAATTCCCATGTAAAACAAACATGTGATTCAATACCAACATTAATTAATTTTCGATTGTTGGTTATAATCTAATGATGACCAGCTAATGTTTCAGTAAATTGACCAGCATGCCAGCAACTCTTTCCATTCACCTCTGTCAATGGTATCGTCTTATTTATAAAGTATTTTGTGTCTTTTGTTCTGGTGTTATGAGTGTACACACTCTGAGATGTGTATAAGAGACAGGAGTGATAGTGAACGTGGAACCAATTGATGCGTGTACGGAAGTTAAACCAATCCCAAACAACAATCAAACAACCTTACCCTACATTGCATTAATCAGGCGTAATGGTTGCGATTTTGATGTCAAGGTAAGCTGGTGAAAGAAGTGTTTACTGTTTCACTCTTCTAATGAAATGGGTAATGACAAGTATAAATGGTACATGCTTTATTCTTGCACAGTGTACATCCACTGTGTCATATGATATACTGTTTTGGTGACTATTCCAAAACAAGATAAGAAAGTCTGTTGCTAAGTGAGAATGGCAAACCTTGAATGCATAGTTGGAAGATAGAAGTTCACTGTCTGTAATCTAGAATTACAATCACCACAAACTTGTGGCCTGCATAGAGTATCTTGGTCTATGCTTTAACACAGGCCTATTCTACAAACAGGGGCAGTTAATACATATAGCAAAATCTGACTTAACACCGTGTATATTTTTTAGTTTGTTACTTATTATTTATTATTAAAGTTGTTTTTTTTAATTATTTATTCATTCATTAATTTCTTTTTCCTCCATTTGTTCTTGAATAGCAATTTCAAGATAATGGCTGTTGTTTTAAATTATGATGTATCCACTATATAATATAATATAATACAATATAATATAAGAATATCATGAGATATAATATGCCAACTAGATCTTCTAGTCAATGGCTGCCAATAGCTGATCTATTTTCAGTGGCTAAATTTATTATTATTAATATAATACTATTTTAATACAAAATGAAAATTACTGTAGATAACTTAATGCTTTTTATAAGTCAATCGTGACATCATCATTGCAACTCCCAATGTTATTAGATATTACGCACCGCGATGAAAATTGAATTGGGATAATTGAAAATTACTTTCATAAAACAAGGTTAATTACAACCCAAAGAAAGCTACTTCAAATTCTTATTAACTATGAACATTTAAGGATTTCCTTGAATCAATTAACCCTAATAAACTAAACAAACTGAACGTTTAATAGGAATATTGTAGACCTGTTAATTAAGACTCAAGGAACGAAATTAGATGTAGGCCTACAGTCAGGCAGGTGGTTGCTGAGGCCTACTAGTACTAGGCCATAGCCTAGTGTAGTTATGAAATCATCACATGGTTTTTACCTGCCTGCACTGACCAAAAAGTCAGTGACTGTACTCTCTTTCGAATGCTTTAAGAAATGTTTTTCTTTGACGAATGTATCAAAAAAGCATTACAAACAAGTTTTTCTGACACAGTACAGTCAGTGACTTTCTGATCGGTGCAGGTTGGTAAAAATTACAATACTGTAGTTATTCATCGTATCCGTACTGTACTGCTGATGTGTAGTTAACGCATACTGCAGGAGCCCCAATCAGCGTACGCACAGCTAAATATTATATACGCACACAGTATACTGATCATATCATTATAGCAACCGTTGACTGCTACAACAGTTGGATATCAAAACTAACATTAACACAGCGATTGACTTCTAAAGCAATTGGTAGTGCATGCATTGTACACTAGCAGAAAATTATTATACTTAGGTTAGATTTAATGCATTCAAAAATTTCTTTCGGGCCTTGCAGGCCCTCAGAAAATTCTTTTCAAGCATTAAATCAAACCTTCGTATAATAATTTCCTGTAGTGTACTATGCGGAGCTCTACTATTTGCTTAATAGTAATGAGTTTGAGTGTAATTAAATATTGGTTATTATAACTAAAGATAAATTCTGGACCTTAACTCTCGAATTAAACCCAGACAAACTATGGGTCCCATAGGCAAAAGCCAAGCCTCCCCCCCCCCTCTCCATGCAACAAAGTAAATAGCTTTAGGGACATAATTTCAATTTATGCTAGTCCCGAATTTGACACTACTGTAACACAAATGTGAGATTATGAGGCAGAACATTTCATCCTACAGCAAAATAATTATTTGTAAAATTTTTTAATACTGTTAACATTTTTTTAATTATTTCATTCTACAGATGGAAATGAAGTATCTATATCATCCGTGTTTGTTGGTGAAGATAGTGGTCTTCTCCTAGCGAAAAATAATTATACAACAGGGTAAGCTGGTTTGCGCCATTAATAAGTTGGGATTATTTAGTTTTTTCATAATGCTGTAGACCTATTAGTTATGTTTGAAATTTCAAATAACGGCAAATATTAACAGATGATCTTCGATAAATTTCACCTGATAACCTCTGGCAGATATCACTTTATCCTAAGATAATCTGATAGATCTTCAGATAATCTGGTACATATTCTTAAAATTATCTTTAGATAATTTTGCAGATATAATTACTCTTATGATCTTCAGATAACTTATATATTTTAATGATTTTTAGATCTTTTAGCAGATATTACTTGATAATTTCAGATAATCTGGCAGATAAAAATTAATTATCTTCAGATAATCTGGTAGATGTTTTTTTAATTTGGCAGATATAATTACTCTTATGATCTTCAGATATTTTAATGATTTTCAAATCTTTTACCAGATATACTTCATGATCCTCAAATAATTGGGTGCAGATATATGAAAATTCTCAGATAATCCAGCAGATATCATTTCATGATATTCCAATAATTCTGCTGATAAACTTTATAATGTTAAAAATTAAATATGGCAAAGACAAGCCAAACCAGTCACTCGTCGCAAATCGTGTTTCAGAGATAATGGCCAAAACATGCTGAAATGTCAACATTTTTGAAATCTATTTTTTTGCACGAAATTAACTTTTATATCTATACATCATGATGCTGTAATTTTCACAATTTTCAATGTTTAAACAACAATTTTTAACAATTTGGTGATGGTTTCTGCCTGAGAAATGCCCAAAATCATAAACTTTGAAGGTTGATTTCTCAAATATTGTTCTTTAAACAGCTGTATGTTTAAATGCTTCTAACTTCATAACAAAATGTCAGATTTAAATGATTCTTTTACCATTTTATAGCTCTCATTTTACTGTTTAACCCAGTATTAATAACTAAAAAAATTTTGTGACGAATGACTGGTTTGGCTTGTCTTTGCCACAAATAATCTGGTTGATAGTACTGTATGATGAAGTGTTAATATATTTTAATAATCTTGCATCAAATTATATATCCATTCATGCAAATTCTGATAATTTTACAGTACCAGTTGTAATTATCTTATCTTGTTATCTTATCTTGTAATTACCTTTTCTTTTCATCCATTTTTGGGACATTATACATTGTTTACACTGGGATAATCTATAAAAGCAAAGTATCACTACTCTTATTGAGAAGCAGCTGAGCTGAATGTGTTCATGTACAGAGAGCAGCTCAGCTGAATCTGTGAATTTATGGCTTTGATGTCTATGATACCATGCTTTCTGCTGAGGCCAATCACTGGGTAGTGCATGATTAATATGACACTGGAAAATGGAAAATACAATTTGATTTAAATCCCATTTATCCGAAAGTAATGTTTTCAAGTTTTAAGCTCAAGAATGAAGTGTATGATTTCATGTTACTTTAGATTATTGTAAATGCCTCTTTAAAAAAGAATGCACTTTCTAATGACATTCTTTTTTTTTTCCTTTTCTGTGTCTGCCTTATAGCAAATGTATAGTTAGGGTATAAAATATAGACATGACTTATATGCATGTTACAAAGAGTTTGGAGTAGCACGTGCCCTAAAAAATTCGCCAAACCATTGATGGAGTACATACATGCACACTATTGCATGGCTCTCTAGCAAATGTAAAAAGGCAGCCTTTTCTGAGATGTTTTACTATTTCGATCTGACGATTCTTGGCTGAGAAGTGTTTGGCCTGTCCGAAAGCAGGCCTACCTCTCTTTGCTTCTGTCCCCAATGCTAGCTGCCACCAATTGTTAGATCCTAGATATCATACCCAGGGGCGGATCCAGAGATGTCCAAAAGGGGTGGGGGGAAAGGGAGGGCCAAAATTTGGGCCGATCGAGACAACAATGTCCTAGGTGTTCCGGGGGCATGCCCCGCGAAATTTTTGTGTTCTAGACGCCCGAAAATAACATTTGAGGCGTTGTGGGCTATCATTTTTTTCTTTTTCTTTCTTTTTTTCTTTTTTACCTCCCAAGAGGGGAGGCCGGGGCCGGGCTGCCCCCCCCCCCCTAAATCCGCTCCTGATACCCTGCTACCATGAATGTTGCTTTATAGCATCACATTCATTTGTCATTATGGCTTATTGCATTCTTCCACAGATCCACTGTTGTTATCTATGCACATTTTACCTTTCCTATGCATCTGTATTTACCATTCGTCACTATAGTCGGGTTCTGTGTTCTTTTAACCATTATTTTCATGGTAAGTTTTACGTTTAAAAAATGACAGTCAGAGATGAAGTACAAGTTCCATGGAATGATGGGAGGTCAGCTAACATGTGATATCGATCTTATGAATCATTTGCTGTTTATGTAATGGTCATGTGTTTAATATAGTACAAGTATGGAAAAATGCATGCAGGTATGGTTCACTACACAAACATGCTAAGCTGCATCATTTTCCGTCTACATATGCCCATTAGTAACCGACAGCATGGCTGTAAAAGCAGCAAGACAACATGGCCGAAAAGTGATCAAGGAAACCTGACCGAAATACATGAATGAAACTGAAAATAACTGAAAAAATAAAGGAACACATGGCTGTAAAACATGAAGGATACATTTTTAAATTAAACAAATGGAAACTAATAAAACTTAAAAATCAGGATTATTTAAGATCTCAATGTTCATATTTTAGGATTGACCTCCCTAAGTTACTGAAATTTGTGTGCCTCATCACTGTTATATGATTGAAAAATATGCTAACCATGTTTGTTTTCTTTTACTTTTTTTTATTTTGCCAGGAGTACTGTCACTATGTATCCATATATATCTTATCCTTCTCCCCTCTACTATTTCGTACCCTTCCTAGCTGTGTGTGGTATTTGTTTTTTATTCCTGATAATTTACATTGTGAGTATAATTCAATTTCTGGTTAATGATTTGGTTTTGATTTTCATTTTATTCACAAAATTACATTAAAATTTCTAACTCGTAAATTAATATAAAATTATGATATGCATTAAATAGCTTTTGATTCAATTTTTAACCTGGGACTTAATTTGCTGGAAAAACAAAAACGGGTATGCATATATTTGGTTATTATTAAAGATAATCTCAATTTGTATACTCACAAATGATGAACAATGGACAGACGGTGGCTTTGAAGGATATTATCCTTACGTTATTATAATTAGGCAAAAAATTATAGCACAACTCGGTGACATTTGAATTTTAGTAATGTATAGTTTTAGTCTTGTTGGTTGATAAACCACAGGACTAATAAAAGCCATGTTTGAAAGCCATTTTGTTTGGGACTTTAGTTACAATATCCAATTGGAGTGTAAATTATACAATTATAGTGTAAGTACATGATGATGATAAGTGTTGTAAATTTGAAGTAAGGTAACCAAAAAAAAATCCAAATGCCAACTTCATGTCAATGGCTACCAGATGTCTCTATGAAGACGATTACTTGACCTAATACCAGTAACTTAGTATGTACTGTACAAGTTCGGGGGTCACCCAAAGATACTAGTAGCACCCACAGTGCAGCGCCACCAAGGAAGCAGTACGCCGCAATACTATTGCCTGCTTTTTTCAAGGGAATAAGAATCATTATGATCATAGTGATTAAGTTGAAACTAATTTACTAATTTTATTTAAATAAATGTGTAGGCCCAAATAGTTGCTGGTCCAAAATATTCATTCAGATGTTCACAGAATACAGCTTTAGCTGTGTGCTTGTGTGAGAGCATGTGTGTGAAGGTACTAAACAAATTTTACTATCACTTAAACCGGGTACTTACTGCATGGTACGACAAATCCAACTCGGCTCCCTGTGAGCAATAGATGATGCGATGCAGTCTGCTGATTGTCAGCCATGGCAGTCTGAGCTGATCGTCATGAATAACAATCCGTTGCACTTGTCGTGGCATTGTGTTCTTCATAGAATCGTTTCGGACGACAACTGTCTGACGCAGTCAGTGCCCGGTTTTATGTGACTAAGAGACAAGAGTTGTGATGACGCAAGATTTTGCTTTGTGGTTTTATTGGGTAGAAAACAAACTCTTTTTAACCTGTTCACCACACCCTCTGGATGTTACTGTTAAAACTTTGGCACAAACAACAGGGATTACGTCAAATCTACATACTAGTCATTTTAACTAATGGATGAAATCTTTACAATATTTATTATTTTAACACATTATATTGGTTATCTATTGGTTACTATTAATTTTAGCTAAATGCATTAGGTTGGTTTATCTACATTACTAAACCATTTTAACTAAATGTGCATAATTTTGGAATGTCTTTTCAATTGGATACAAAATGGTAAATCACTTTTAGAAACCCAGTCAGCTTTAATCACATTCATATAATTAAGCATTTCTGATTTCCTATCCAGATTGCAAAATTTTTACGTGACCGTCGGAAGTTGAGACGATCTCGTCTGTCAAGGGAGCATTTGAAGAAACTGCCAATTAGAAAATTCAGAAAAGGTATTTCATTGAGCATGTAGGACCTAGAATACAGTACTGTATTTACATTTTGACAGGTGTATATTGAAAAATGCAGGCTTAAATGCATCAGAAATTTTTAAAATCACATTACGATGGATTGCAATCAGATTTTTTGATGGTTTTTGTGATTGTAAATGATATATTACATCTTAAAAAATGAGTTTTTGGATGTCAATTGTGTAATGCCATTTGTAACTGGCTCTGGCAAATAACATTACACAAATGATATCCAAAAACTCATTTTCTATGTGTAAAATAAATAATAAGTTTTTGAATATCACTGTCTTCTGTACGCCTTTAGACCGATCCATTTACCATGATTATTATCCCTCATCAGACGCCATAGCTGGGGACCTCTAGTTGGGGATTCTTACGTATCTTCTGCTACAAAAGTATATATTGGAATGATAGGACATAACTTTTGTTTTTGCATCGTAATCTACTCTAAATGTTTTGCACAACTGAACATGGACATGAAATACACTCGGGGGACCCCAAGAAGGTCCCAAGCAATGGTGGTGCCAATAGAGAGTGCCCTTTTCCAATTGGATTTGTCTGTAGGCCACCATGTCAGCTGACATGCAATATGTTATACAATAAGTAATGTGTATGCCAGTACAGGATGTATTCTGTACGTTCCATTCAATGAAGTGTTGCCACGGTGAACAAAACATTACTTTTCACCAAAAAATAATTTTTCCATCACATTGGAAAAAGTAAATGAGAAACATTCGCAATATGTGTTTTTACAACACCTACTTTATAAAGTCTAAAATGTTTGTAATTTTTATGTGGATGTGTATTATTATTAGCAAGTTTGTCTGCCTTTGTGGGATCAAAACGTCGATGTTAAGTAGGCCTAGGCTATGCTCTCATTTTCTTCACTTTGTCAAAGAAAGAAATTGCATGGCCAGATAAATTAGCGAATGAGACAAGATATTAAATGTGACATAAGCTATGCGATTTTAAAAATAATTTGAACCATTATTAAATTATTTCCATGTTACCTATAAACAACCAATCAAATGACTATAATTTAACTATGTTTTTTTTGTTACTAGGAGACAATTATGATGTGTGCGCTATTTGTCTGGATGAATATGAAGAGGGTGCTAAGCTCAGAATTTTACCTTGTAACCATGGTAGGCCAATCATGCATTCAATAATTTAGCGGTTGCGTTTCAGTCTCTCAATCTTCAGGTCGGAGGTTTGAGCCTTCACTGTGTATTTCGCTTATGTCCTTGGGCAATGCACTTTACCTAAGTTTGCCTCTCTCCACCCTGGGGTATAAATGGGTAACTGGTAGGATGATGTGGCACTGAATGTTTAGTCCATATAGGCAATAAATTGCATTCACGACACCAAGGAGGGGAGGAGGGCGCACTTTGTGCTGGTTTGATTATGGATCCAAGGACCAGGAATAGTAATAACATCAACAGCGCCTTGAATCACTTGGCAAGGCGTGGTATAAATCCCTATATTATTATTATTATTATTATATTATTATTATTGTTAACAATAATTTACACAACAACAACAAGTAAAAGTTTATAATAGAAATCAGTGATTATGCTCTATTCATAAATTCTCATATTGAGGCTTTTGCCTAAAGGTATATACCACCAGGATTTAGTTGAAGAGGGTGGGGTGCAATACAGTGAACCCTCCAATTCGAGACCACTGTAATTCCGAGACCCCTGTAATTCGAGACCATTTTTCCAAAGACCTAAATAATAATCTTCAACCTTTTAACACAAAAAAACGCCATCTAATTAGAGACCAACCCCCGAGACCACTTCAAATTTCAGGTCCCAAATGTGGCCTCGAATTGGAGGGTGAACTGTATTAGAAAAATGTCTAAAAAATGAAAGGGTTTCACATTATTTTTTCCCGCTGTATATGGGAACTCAGAATTGTTAATTTGTATAATGTAGTCATCAGTGGCATCCTTTTGTTATTGGAGTTTTGTACTACTTGATACTCCTGAGTATCATACAAATTCAACATATCATAAAATAAACATTGATTTCTAATTTTAAAGAGAAGGTAGGCCTAGTAAGATCATGTTATAAGAGTTACAGCACCCATTAAACATAAAATAGGTAACTAAACCTAACCTACATTTGTCACACTAATAATTTTTTTATAAAATGATTCTGAAGTAACTGGTCTTATTCATTCTTCATTTGTATCCTGTCACAAAATATGCAAAGTTTTGTAAACACTGAATAATAAAACGAAGGGTAAGGTTCATCAAAGGTAGTTTGGTAGACCAACTAGCAGGATGCGGTTGTAACAAGAGTAATTTCTAATTCTTTATTTAAACTAAATGAGTCTTGTTTATATGATGTTTTATTGACTTCAATTTGCTGGTATTGTATCATGTTGGCATTGAGGTCATGGTACAATTTATAGTACTGTACAAAAATCTATTTTTCTGTGCCTAGTCTTCTAACCAAGGTGTAGATCTAGTCCCTGAATCTAATGAGAACATAACCATACAGGTCTCCATCTAATGAAAGACCCTTCCAATTAAAGACCACTTTTCTGTGGTCCCAAATTAACAAATGCCTTTTACCTTTATTATTTTAATTTTGGAGACCAAAGCTGCCAAATACCTTAGAAACCCTTGGTCCCAGATAGCCTTTTGAATGGATGGAGACCTGTAGTTTCTATTTTTCAATTATGCTACACTCCATGGTCTGCTAAATATCATGCTATTTTATTTTTATTTTACTACAGCCTAGACTACTATATCAAATTTTATGACAAAAACATGTGACACTTTATGAGCATATAACAGTTTTATATCAAAGAAGATTTGGATAAAGTTTAAGCTTGACTGTATTGGAGTTTTTTTAAATAAAGCCCTTCATAATTGAGGCATAGGGTTAACATTTCAAGGGCAGTGCAGATCATTCTTTCTGCCAAAATCCAAAATGATGTCTGGCAGTGGATACTTTTATGAAAATGAAAATAAAAGACTGTTCAAAAGAGAAGTATTTGGATCCAAAGTTGGGACACAAAAATATGAGACAAAAAGTCGTGTTGATACACTTGCTGAATAGTTAAAAATATAATCTTGAAATTACATAAACATTTTATATTCTATTATTGTTGCAGCTTTTCATTGCCCATGCATTGACCCATGGCTGACCAATAACAAACGCACATGTCCTGTCTGCAAACGTAAGGTTCTTCCTAATGATGTTGAAGACGATTCATCCGATAGTGATGACAGCGAGATTTCGAGCGAGAACACACCACTTTTATTTGGTAACCGTGGTAGTAATTACGGAAGACAACCCCCCAGTGACAATGACCCATTGGAGGGTACTTCATCTCATTATTCAGCCGCTGAGGATGAAGAAGGCACGGCAGGTACATCAATTTCAGACAGCACACTCACAATCTCACTAGAGGTAGAGTCTGATGAAGACTCTACGAATAGCTATGAGATGCAAAAGAAACCAGAAACTGCAGACACTGAAGAAAATGAAGGTAATGCAGAAGGAGAAGGTCGAAGTTCATAAGGTAGAGGGTTAAAGCCATCATTTTAGGAAAACTCTTTTGTAAAAAACAAAATCTTAAATTTTTGTAATTATGGCAATCTTGTATCAGTCAATTTAAGATTGTAATTATGGCAATCTTGTATCAGTCAATTTAAGATCATCATCATTAATTTTAATATTATTAAGAATGACTGATGTGTAATATATGACACCACACTTATTAAATCTTGCTTGATGTGCATGATGAAATGTGAAGAAATGTATTCAGTGTACACCACACGTTTTACACGAATTGTCTTAGCTTAGTGCCTTAGTATTATCACATGTTCTTAAGATTTTAAGTGCATATATTCTTATGCTATAGTATAATTGCATAATTAGTTAGTTGTCAAAACATGGACAAATGGGATGATTGAAGAAGGGGTCCCATTACTCGGCCAACCAGACAATTAGTTGGCCTGGCCTAATTTTATCCTTTTGTGTTTAAAAAGTATGATGTGCCTGATATAACACTTTAAGGTTTGTAGTGAGGCTGTATTGGTGGATAACATGCTTACCTTCCAGTTTCATGGTGCTTAGTTGAAATCCTTCATAAAAAAAAACAGGATTGTTTTTCGTCAACTTAGAGATTCTCATGGTTTTATCATTTGACTATTCATAACTACGTATTGTGCATAAACAGTAGCTTTATATTAAACAGTTATTGATATAGGTTATAGGATGCTATTGGCAGCAGATCCATTCAATGGATGGAATACACAGAATGTTTACATGTTCAAGATGCATTTAATGATAGCAGTCAATGGCAATTCATATTTTATACTGGGCTGATATACATGGTGGTCATCACTGGTGCCTTTGTGTCCCTTGTGACTTCATTGAATTCGACTCAAATAGTTACAGTTTAGCGCATTATGTTGATTTCCACCCAGGATCTCTCCATTACTTGGAAGTGAGTAAGCAACTATGTAGAACAACGCGGTCTCCAACCTGGGGGTCCGCCAAGTCCAAAGGTCCAGCAAAATATTATTGGGGTTCGCTAGATTATTACACTAATAATTAGTCCACCAACTGTTTGATTGTGTACTTTTGTTGCAAATTAATTTCTATAATCTTACTGTGTATCTACATATTAATTATGCTAAAGATATTAAAAGTGGTTCAGCAGCTGTAGCACCATGAATATGACTGAAGTTGAGTAGTTCAAATCCATGCATTGGTGCAATCTTTGGAATTTTATGGTCATGCAGTGTAATGCTGAGGTGTTATGTTTACAGCATTAATGCTGAAGGGGTTTTGAAGATGGTTTATTTGTGAAAGCCCCTTGCCTATGAGTTGAACTGCATACAGTATGTTTTAGATTACGTCGTATTGTATTAACATAAGCTGCATGAGGCATGTAATCTTTTTTTAAATTTTTGCATCTTGAATACCAATGGTCATTTAATTTAAACATTGATTTTGCATCATAACTAATTATGTTGTAGTAATAGTGAAAATATTCATTGCAAATGACAAAGTGATACTGCAATAATACTTAACAATATGTTGTATATCTTAAAATGTATATTAACTATATTCTGGCCTTCAGAAATATTTCAAATATCTACATTAAAACTTGTATAAATTCAACACTTATAGCTCAAGATTTGAATTTTTATAGAAGAGGGAAGTAATTTTGGCTGAGGGTTTCTACCTTGAGGTCAAGGTTCACCCTGTGTAAATAGTGCATTTTGCTTGTAACCTCTTGACCTGTGAGACGACCCTAAATACATTGGCGCCTCGTACAGTTTAATGTGGGAGGGGTTTGACCCCTTGTGCATTTTGTTGTGTCATTTGGTGGGCAAGGCACTTAACGTAAGCTCTGTCCAGATTATCACATTTTCTTGACGAAAAACTGTTGTATGCCATATATAGTCATGATGTGCCTATATATGGTCATGATGTGATGTCATCATGACCATATTTAGGCATGTCACATGTTTGTGTCAAATACAATTGTTTGGTCTGAACAGGGCTTTTTGTTTGTCTGTCTCCACACACAGGATTGAAAATGGGTGCCTGATAGGATGTGGCACTCATGGTTGTACCACAACCCAGAGTACTCCCTTAGAGAGCAGATAAAATTGTCCTTCATGCTGCATTACCGATGGATCCACTGACCAGAGATAATAATAGGCCTTGTTTCGCATAGCCTCGTCTGCCAGTGATCTAATGGTTCTTTTAAAAATAAAAATAGAGTTTTTTGTGCTCATTACTAGCCACAATATTATAGAATATATTTAGTAGTCCTCTGTATTCTTCAGGTGTTAATGATTTGAGTCTTCTATCTTTTCATTTTGTTTTCATGACTTTATCCTCATAATTAAATTAGCGAATAAGCTTCTGTAGACTAAGAACCATTGACATTAGAAAGATAGTATATAAATCTCTCTTATGTTTCTCTCTATATTATTTTTATAGTTGAGCAGCAGTGAACAAGTGATTGGTCTGTACGTGTTTGAAACATCCAACCTTTCAGATCCTGGATCAATATTGTTCACTGTTTAACCAATATGATTGTAATTTTTAACATGTATATAAAGTATTAAATGTACTTTATTTTCGATAAAAAATTATTTTATATCTATATATATATATTGAATAAGACATAATATAATGGTTGATTTGATTTTACACAAAAGTTATGTACATATACATAAAGATGTATCATTGTGTTGTGAAATGATGCACGTTGTTCCATAACAAATATAGTTATGAAGGCAATGACAATGATAAAAACAAACAGTGGCGGATCTAGAGAGGGTGAATAGGGTGGCTAGCCACCACCCTTTGGTTACCGTGAAAAAAATGGTCACTCTTCTTGAGTGTGCTACTCGTGTACCATGTTACATGTAGTAGGGTACTGTGTTAAATTATACACTTTCTATTGGCTTAACTTCGTTTCAGATGCCATCTAAGGGCGTCTAGCCATCTACTAATTTAAAAGAAAATCTCAAATGAGAGTTGACCCCCCTCACAAAAAACAGGCCCCCCTCCCCCACTCACATT